ATCATGGCTGAAGTTTAGGAACAGTGGTGAAAAAGCATACTGATAAATTCAAGATAAGTTGGTGATGAGGACGGGGAAAAGTCCTAAAGGATACCTTTACTGGAAGGGAAGTTTGTGTGGCTTTACTTAGGACTATTATGGGCACATTCTGCATTTTTTTGGTTTGCTTTCAAAAAATTACTTTCTATGATTTTTGCCATATCTCATACAATTATATTTTAAATGAGCTTTTAAATGCCGTAAGCACAAAAAAATCGTCTTTTCACCTAAAACCTCAGGCTCTAGGGTTACAACCCCGGCATGTGTCGTAATTTATGAGGCAGTGATTTCAACTTCCTTTCTCCACTTAGCTGCAGGAAAAGGCCTTGAGCAATTCCTGGCAGGAGACTTGTAGCTCTTCCAAAGGGCAGAGCAGATGTCCTGATTTTAAGTAGGGCATGAAGCACAAGCACAATTGGCCATAGGAAACATCCAATCACAAGGAGTCACTGCTAAAGCTGAATATTGTGGGCTACCAGGTGACATGTTAATAGATCTCTCTGAGGCAGAAGAGATTGCCTGCCATTCTGGGGAAGTTTCCATTTTCTCTTTCCTTCCTTCCTTCCCTTTCTTCCCTTCCTTCCCTTCTTTCTTTTAATGGACTTTCATTCTTATTGCCCAGGCTTGAGTGAGTGGTACGATCTTGGCTCACTGCAACCTCCACCTCCCAGATTCAAGCAATTCTCCTGCCTCAGCCTCCTGAGTAGCTGGGATTACAGACATGCTCCACCATGCCCAGCTAATTTTTGTATTTTTAGTAGAGACAGGGTTTCTCCATGTTGGTCAGGCTGGCCTTGAACCCCTGACCTCAGGTGATCCGCCCACCTCAGCCTCCCGAAGTTCTGGGATTACAGGCATGAGCCACCACACCTAGCCTCTTTCCTCTCTTTCTTATCTTCGGGTCAGCGGTATAACTCTGGGCCTTGGTGTATCTTGGTATTGGAGAGGAATCCTGAACAATGACAGCTGCTGGAATGGTTCCCCACTAAGCCAGAATCTAGGAATTCATGATGCTGGGACTGGGTTTTACTCAGTTTTGTCCCCATCAGCACCTTCTACCAGGCCCCAAGCCTCACAGAAACTTATTAAATGCTTGTTACACTGGATAAATCATTAGAATAGAAGGTTCAGTACTTGGAAGAGATGAAAGGAAGGGTGCTCTACAGGAAGGACTTGCTTGCTCCCATCTATCTACACCCACCATCTCTCCATGGCAGGACTGGAGTCCTTGGGTTCTGAGGAACACAGTTTGAAAATCAGTGATCTGACCTGACTCCTTCATTTTAAGATGAAGAAATCTACATGCTGCTTTATGGCCAGATAGGACCATGTAAATTCAGATGTCCTGACTCCTGTTTCCATCACACTGATTAATGAACACCCAGGGTCCTCCTGCTCTGGTTTTTAACATCATGTGGTAGTGCTGGTAGGCCAAGAATTTTCATCTGCCTCTTCGACTGAGGATCCACAAAGTCCCTATTTATAGCCGGTAGTGTCATCAAGAGGAGACAGAGAGGAAGCCACGAATCCCCTGGGGGCACAGAGCCTCCAGAGCCTTCTGATGGGTTTTGTCTGTCCCTTTAGATTCTGACTGCTGGCTTGGAATTTGGACCTTGGCACAATTTCCATGACGCCTCTAGATTTACCTACTGACTGAACTTCAGACTGAATTCTTGCTACAGTCAGCTCTGGGTTATTGGTTTCTGTCATGTCTAGTGTCTCCATTGGCTCCAGCAATGACCTGGAAGGGTCTGCACCAGGCTGTGGCAGGAGTTCCATAGTCTGCCATGTAATGTGATGTAAAAAGAACAACTAATAGGCATTGGTTACGTGTTTAAGTGTCTTTTATGGATTACTACTGAAGTAACTGTAGTGGAAAGAGCTTGGGCTTTGAAATCAGACTGGCCAGGTTTACTGTGTTGTTTATAGATGCTGGAGATTTGCCTAACCACTCTGAAGCAGTTTCCTCATCTAAAAATGGGGAAAATAGTATTTATCCTGCATGATATAAAGGCTAGAGATAATGTATTTAAAGTGCAAAGCACATAAAAGACATATAATAGAAAGTAACAACTATTAATTTTAAATTGTATTTACATGTATAGGGACTGAGGGCTGATATAATTTATGAGTTTGAAGTACTGAAGGATCCTGAAGAAACTTTCATCAAAAATTACATTATGGTCAGAATCATCTGAGTGTATTATTGTTACTTCTTAGAAAATTGGTAATGGCATAGAATAGTATTAAATGTGCTAGGTGGTTGCTAGGTGCTCTACGTAGACAATCTAATGTAATCAGCATTCTGAGATAAATAGTATCATTACTCCTGTTTTTAAATAGAGAAACAGGGTTTAGCAAAGTTCAAAAGAACAACCAAGCCACTGGATTTGAGGCTTGGTTTGATTCCCAAGCCTGAGTTCTTACACTATTTAATCTTTCACTGTTTGCACACATAACCTTTTGTGACCATTGTTAAGAAGGAATCCTCTTCCCCTCCTCTCTGTTTTCCCTATTGAGAAAGAGGAGGCCTACTGAGGAGAGATTCCCTCCCCTCATTCCCCATGTGGGAAGCTGATGAGAAGGAAGCTTTCATTTTCCTATCCACCTTAGTATTAGCACCTCCCCAAGCCAGGGGTGACAAGTTTGAGAGGTGTGGCTTATGATCTACCAAATGTTCTTCAGGTTAGGAATCTCTACTTCCTTGTACCCCTTTTTCCACCTCCACTGGGCAGTGAGCACTCCACTTCCTGGGCCCTGTGTTAGCATTATGTCAAGCAGTGCTTTTTAATTTAGCTTTCATCAGAAATCCCTGTGCTTTATTTTCCTCAAAAACTTCATTTTGAAATTATTTAAGACTCATAAGAAGTTGCAAAAACAATACAGAGGGTTCCTGTGTATTCTTTACCCAGCTTTCACCAATAACATCTTACATAACCAGAGTTCATAATCAAAATCAGGAAATTGACAGTGGTGCAATACTATTATATAAACTACAGACCCTATTTAAATTTTGCCAGTGTTTATGTGTATTGTGTGTGTAGTTCTATGAAATTTATCACATATATAGATTTCTGTGAAATTCACATGTGATTACTGTCAATACTGAACTATTCCATCACACATACTCACTTACAAACACAACTCTCTCACGCTCTCCTTTATAGTCACACACTTCCCCAACCTAACTCCTAGCAACCACGAATCCATTCTCCATCACTATAAGTTTGTCTTTTGAGTATGCTGTGTAGAACTGGACTCTTACACTGTGTAAGCTTGTGAGACTGACATTTGTCAGGCAGCATATGCTCTTGAGCTCCATCCAAGTTGTTGCATGTATCAATACTTTGTTTCATGTTTATTGGTAGCTAGTAGTCTATTGTATGGATGTCCCACAGTTTATCCATTCACCTCCTTGAAGGATATTTGAGTTTCCAGTTTTTTTTCTCCCAGCTTTATTAAAGTATAATTGACAAATATTGTATATTTACGGTGTACGACATGGTATTTTGATATCTGTATATATTGTGAAATAATTAAAATTATTAAATCAATTTAATTAACATCTATCACTGCACATACTTATCATTTTTTTGTGGCGAGAACATTTAAGACTCTCCTGGAATTCTTCAAGTATACGACTCGTTATTACTAACTATAGACACTATGTTGTATGGCTCTCCACAACTTATTCATCCCACCTGGAACTTTGTGCCCTTTGATCTAACATCATCTCCCCATTTCTATCAATCACATCTACCCTAGTCTGTGACAACCGCCATTCTACTCTCTGGTTGTATGAGTTCAACTTTTTTTTTCCATTGATTTATTTTATTGCATTTTAGGTTTTGGGGTACATGTGAAGAACATGCAAGATTGTTGCATAGGTACACACGTGGCAGTGTGATTTGCTGCCTTCCTCCCCATCACCTACATCTGGCATCTCTCCCCTTGCTATCTCTCCCCAACTCCCCACCCCCCACCGTCCCTCACCTATTTCCCCCCAACTGACCCCAGTGAGTAGTGCTCCCCTCCCTGTGTCCATGTGTTCTTATTGTTCAACACCTGCCTATGAGTGAGAACATGCGGTGTTTGATCTGCTCTTCTGTCAGTTTGCTGAGAATGATGGTTTCCAGGTTCATCCATGTCCCTACAAAGGACACAAACTCATTGTTTTTGATGGCTGCATAATATTCCATGGTGTATATGTGCCACATTTTACCTGACCAGTCTATCATCGATGGCCATTTGGGTTGGTTCCAGGTTTTTGCTATTGTAAACAGTGCTGCAATGAACATTCGTGTGCACGTGTCCTTATAGTAGAACGATTTATAATCCTTTGGATATATACCCAGTAATGAGATTGCTGGGTCAAATGGAATTTCTATTTCTAGGTCCTTGAGGAATCGCCACACTGTCTTCCACAATGGCTGAACTAATTTACACTCCTACCAACAGTGTAAAAGTGTTCCTATTTCTCCACATCCTCTCAAGCATCTCTTGTCTCTAGATTTTTTAATGATAGCCATTCTAACTGGTGTGAGATGGTATCTCAATGTTGTTTTGATTTGCATTTCTCTGATGACCAGTGATGATGAGCATTTTTTCATGTTTTTTGGCCTCACGTATGTCTTCTTTTGTAAAGTACCTGTTCATATCCTTTGCCCACTTTTGAATGGGTTTGTTAGTTTTTTCTTGTAAATCTGTTTTAGTTCTTTGTAAATTCTGGATATCAGCCCTTTGTTAGATGGGTAAACTGCAAAAATTTTTTCCCATTCTGTTGGTTGCCGATTCACTCTAATGACTGTTTCTTTTGCTGTGCAGAAGCTGTGGAGTTTGATTAGGTCCCGTTTGTCTATTTTGGCTTTTGTTGCCAATGCTTTTGGTGTTTTGGTCATGAAGTCCTTGCCTATGCCTAGTCCTTGCCTAGATTTTCTTCTAGGGTTTTTATGGTGTTAGGTAAAAATATGGAACACTTCATGAATTTGCATGTCATCCTTGTGCAGGGGCCATGCTAATCTTCTCTGTATCGTTCCAATTTTAGTATACAGCTAGTGCTCAACTTACGACCACGATTGGTTCTGACAGACCAGTCATAACACGATTTGGTCATAAGTTGAGTAGGCTATATGCACGCGGAGATGGTAGTGCTCCGGAAGCTGGTCCGCACTGTCGTACGCCCAGCTGGGCAACGTTTGCGCTGCCAGACGTGGAACAGTCGTGGCTAGTGATTGTGGTCGTAAAGTCGAATGGTCATAAGTTGCATAGGTCGTAAGTCGATCAATACCTGTATGTGCTGCCGAAGCGAGCACGAGTTCAACTTTTTTAGATTCCACATATAAGTGAGATCATGTATTTGTTATTCTATGTCTTGCTTATTTCACCTAGCATAACGTCTTTCAGGTTCATCCATGTTTTTGCAAATGATAGGATTTCCTTCTTTAAGGCTGAATAGTACTCCATTGTGTGTGTGTGTGTATAACATTTTCTTTATCCATTCATTAGTAAATGAACGCTTAGGCTGGTTCCGTATCTTGGGCTATTGGGAATAATGTTGCGGTGAACATGGGAGCGCAGATATCTTTTCCATACACTGATTTCATTTTCTTTAGATATATACCCAGAAGTAGAATTGCTTGATTATATAATTCTATTTGTAATTTTTTGAGGAACCTCTATACTGTTTTCCATAATAGTTGTACTAATGTACATTCTCACAAATAGTGTACAGGGTTTCCTTTTCTCCACATCCTCTGCAGTACTTGTCTCTCATCTTTTTCATAATAAGAGGTATGAAATAATAACTCATGGTTTTAATTTGCATTTCTTGGTGATCAGTGATGTGAGCATTTTTTTCATAAACCTGCTGGACATTTGTATGTTTTCTTTTGAGAAATGTCTATTCAGGTACTTTGTCCACTTTTTATTGGATTATTTTTTTTCTTGCTGTTGAGTTCCTTATATTCTTTGAATGTTTACCCCTTACCAGATGGATGGTTTGCAAATATTTTCTCCCATTCCGTAGGTTGTCTCTTTGCTCTGTTCATTGTTTCCATTACTGTGCAAAAATTTTTTAGTTTAATCCTATTTGTCTATTTTTTATTTTGTTGCCTGAGCTTTTGGGGCCATAACGAAAAAATCATTGCCCAGACGAATGGCAGAAGCTCTTCTCCTATG